GTAGTGGATTTCCAAAATTGTGCATAAGTTATTCTTGCGGCCACAATTATATGTAGGCTGAAATGCCATATTGAATCTGCAGTTCAGCAGTTCTAATCTCACCGGCTCAAGGTTGACTCAGCCTTCCACCCTTCCGAGGGGGGTGAAATGAGGACCCAGACTGTGGGGGGGCGATATGCTGACTCTGTAAACCGCTTAGAGAGGGCTGAAAGCCCTATGAAGCGGTATATAAGTCTAACTGCTATTGCTATTGCTACTTCCAGAAGTGCGATCCTGACCAACTCATGGTTGACTCAGCCTTCCGTCCTTCCGAGGTGTGTAAAATGAGGGCCCAGATTGTTTAGGGGGGAGCAAGAGGCTGACTCTGTAAACTGCTTAGAGAGGGCTGTGAAGCACTGTAAAGCGGCATATAAGTCTAAGGGTTATGGCTGTTGTGCTTGAACCCAAACTGGCTCTCCATCTCACTGGGCCACCCCGATCTTTCTTTGGGGACCCAGCCCCATAGATGGACCTTCTCAAGCACCTGCCTGTTCAGTCCAGACCAGACCAGGGACATCGGGGTCCGGTGGTCTCCAGTCTCCTTTCCCCCCCACCCCCCCAAAAAACCCAACTATCCCAGGGCTCCGATTCTGCTGGGACTCACGCTAGATGGTCCAGGTTGTCGTTGTTGCCTTTGGGCCGGACCAACACTCGGTTCACTTCGCTGTGGAGCCCGTCGAGAAGGAAGCGCAGGAACTCCTGGGCGTCCTGCTGGCTGCGGGAGAGGAAGGACAGGTGTCAATCTAAGCCCCGGGGGGGGAAGGAGGTGCCAGTTAGCCCCCACCCAAGGAGCCTGGGAGAAGAAGCCTTGAAGAAGAGGAAGCCGACTCTCGTCCTCCCCTCCTATCCTTCTGCAGGGAGGGGGGGGGGAGCTTATTGATTTATTTTAAGGTATTAAATTTAGAGGCCAAAGCGATACAGGGTGGTTAGGACAGATTATTGGCAGGAGGAATGGAGGGGAGGGGTAGAGAGGAGGAGGGGAGGAGAGAGGAGGAGAGGGACAGAGAGAGGAGAGGAGGGGAGGGAGCTGGGAAGAGAGGAGAGGAAAAGGGAGAGGAGAGAAGAGGAGAAGCAGGAGGAGAGGGAGAGGGGAAGAGAGGAGGAAAGGAAAGGAAGGAGAGGGGAAGAGAAAGGGGAAACGGAAGAGAGGTGAGGAGAGAGGAGAGGAGAAGAAGGAAAAGAGGGAGAGGGGAAGAGAGGAGGAAAGGAAAGGAGGGAGAGGGGAAGAGAAAGGGGAAAGGGAAGAGAGGAGGAGGAGGAGAAGGACAGGGAGAGGAGGAGAAGGAGGGAAGGGAGAGGGAGAGGGGAAGGAGGAGAAGAGGGAGAGGGGAAGAGAGGAGAGGAGGAAAGGGGGAGAGGGGAAGAGAAAGGGGAAAGGGAAGAGAGGAGGAGGAGGAGGAGGGGAACAGGAAGAGTAGGAAAAGGAGGGAAGGGAGAGGGGAAGAGAGGAGAGGAGGCCAAACCAACTCTCTTCATCAGATTCGGAAAGACAAGACACTGGAAGGTGGAGGTGGCCATCTTTGGATCTGCTAGAAGTTTTGGACTTTAGCATCCTCCCTTCCCTACCGGAATGCTGAATGCCGAGACATGGGACTTGTAGTCCCAAAGACCAACAGGACAAGAAGCTGCTCTGAAGGAATCCAGAGCCAGCAAATGTAAAAATGAGACAGAGGAAGAACAAGCAGAGGAGGAACATTTTTCCCTCCTGGAGAAAAAAAAACGGGAAAGGAAGGTCGGGGATCCCCCTCTTACTTGTATCCCACAAAGCGGGGGGCGTATCGTTGAATCTGCATCTTGAATTCGGAAGGGCTGACGGATTCGTTGGGAGAGGAGGTCCACAACGCCTGGATGAGCTTGGCGAACTCTGCAGAGAGGGGAGGAAGCGAGGCGGCCGTCAACACACAGGCCCGGAAGAGCCCAAGGGGGACACGAAGGACCAGGCCTTCTTCTGCCCCTTTCCAAACCCAACGTGGCTCTGGCTTCCTTCCTAGGTATCATCCACATGTGGGGCCCTGGTAGCCAACATCCATGATGATAACAACGGCCAAACTAGAGCAGGGAAATGGGGGGGGGGGGAGAGAAGAAGAATCCCAGGGATTGAAGGGTCCTTGAGGCTCTCTGAGCTTTGGTGGTTTCCTTGCAGACGTTTCATGACCCAAGTGGGTAACATTATCAGTGTTAGAAGGAAGTGGGGTTGGAGGAGGAGGAGGAGGAGGACAACAACAACAACTTTGGTGTCCTTGGTGGTCTCTGAGCTTGGTGGTTTTCTTGGAGATGTTTCATTACCCAACTAGGTAACGTCATCAGTGCTAGAAGGAAAGGGGGGTTGAAGGGGAGGGGGAAGAGGAAGAGGGGGAAGAGGAGGAGGACTGTGGGGTCCTTGGTGGTCTCTGAGCTTGGTGGTTTTCTGGCAGGCGTTTCATGACCCAACTGGGTAACATTATCAGTTCTAGAAGTCTGAATGAGAGCAACTCCACTCCCTTCTACTAGGGATGATGTTGCCTAGTTGGGCCATGAAACATCTGCAAGAAAACAGCCAAGCTCAGAGACCACCAAGGACCCCACTGTCGTTGTTGTCGTCGTCCTCCTCCTCCTCCTCCTCCTCCTCTTCCTCCTCCTCTCCCTTCTAGCACTGATGATGTTACCTAGTTGGGTCATGAAACATCTGCAAGAAAACCACCCAGCTCAGAGAGCACCAAGGACCCCACTGTCGTTGTTGTCCTCCTCCTCCTCCTCCTCCTCCTCCTCTTCCTCCTCCTCTCCCTTCTAGCACTGATGATGTTATCTAGTTGGGCCATGGAACATCTGCAAGAAAGCCACCCAGCTCAGAGAGCACCAAGGACCCCACTGTCCTCCTCTTTTCCTTCCCTCTGAGAGTCGTCTGCTCAAAGCTTTCTCCCACTTCCTTCCTAGCCCCCCTCCCCTTAAGGGGCTCCGGGAGAGGAAGGCCCCCGTCCTCCCGCCAAACCTCTCCGCCTTCTCACCCGTCATGAGCGACATCTGCATGCGGCTGTTGTTGTTGAGATCGCGAACGTATTGGCTCTGCAGGCAGTAATCGCGCAGCTCTTTGGTGTTGCTGAGGCACTGCAGGATGGAGTTCATGAAACACTGGAGGAGGCAGGAAAGAGAGAGAGAGAGGGAGGGAGAGATGAATAGCAA